AAATATCTGATAATACCATGTACATATATCTAATGTTCATTTTTGACCGTCAAATGGCATTGTTTTTTACTTTTTTTCATTGGATCCCCGAAACGGCTTGACCTGCCTTTGCCAAAAACTAATTAGCACGTCTCCTTATCAGTAGGAATCGAATATTTTTTTGAATTATTCAAATCGGTTCGCGAAATCGTCGAGGAAAATTTGTATCCGCACACACACACATACATTCTTTTTTTTGGTATGCAAAAATGTTCAGAAACCAATAAAACGTAAAAATATAAAAATTTTCATTTTCGATTTTTTTGCGATTACTATAAATTATCCCACGGGAAGTTAAAAATTAAATTAGTGTATGGAAAGTTTCAGGAATTTGCCTTAAGGCACGATGCCATGCACCTCTAGTTATTCTTTTTTAATTATTAAAACGTGGTGGCAGGACATGATTTTTGTTCATAGTTTGCAACAAATTGAAAAATATTTTTCTTGAAATCAGTAACAATTCCAAACTTTTGAATAAGTTTATTTCTATGAATAGCAATGTCTACTTAGAAAACTATGTATGGAATCCAAATATTTCAAAAATTTGCGTACGCTAAAAATAACTGTCTAGTACAATATTAAATAAAAATTTACAGTAATAAGAGTTATATTTTATCTAACTTATATACCAAACTTTGGCATAGTTTTCAGTATATGACATAAATATAAAAGTATATGAAAACCTTTGAATTTTCTTTTATCTAGCGACTCTGTATATTATTTTTCATCCGAACAAGAACAAATGTGTTGAAAGTATTAAGAAAACGTTATTTAGTTATAAAATGCAACGCTTTTAAAGTTTTTATGCGCATCGCATTTTTTTCTTTCATATCCTAAAACTCGAATGCATAAAGTGCATTATATATACTTTTGAATTCCATAGAGAATTCCTTTACTATAAAAGCAACGCGTATTACGAGGTAGTTCGGATTATAAAATATATTTTTTATGAATATACATGGCGTGAAAACTAATTTCGAAATGTTATTAAAAAAATATAATACCTTTGTGAAGTATTATGCATGAATTAATCTTTGATATTAGATTTTTATGCTTGTATTCAAAAACGTGTAATATAAATAAGGAAGAGTTAAGCCGATGATGAATCGTGCTTTCTGTCAACGATAGAGAATTTTTTGTAAGAAAAAATCAAATATTTTCAACAGGCCATTAGCGGTTAGATCTATGTGATTTGAATCAGAAACCATGAATCAAAACACGCTTTGGGCAGCTTGATGTCAAGCAGTAGTAACATCGGTTTTTACTTGGATATAAAACAAAATATGAGCTCATCTCTGCTGCGTTAATAAAAAATCATCACTATTAGAGGAATTAGAATAACAACTAGTGCTGCATGTCATCGCGTCTCAAGGCAAAAAATTGAATAATCGAGCAAAAAAAATTATTATCAATAAATATTGATCAATTATTAATAATAATTGTTTTAAATATTTTCAAAGAGATAACTACTATGTGTTTATGCGCTCATATAATATACAGTGATCGCTCAAAACACTTAAGAATGTTTACATTAACAAGAGATGCCGAATGAATCCATCTGAGGATATATTTCTTACGAATAGAATAACGCATATGTAATATATACATTTTTAAACTGACTTGTAAATTAAAAATTTATATTTAAAGTATAAAACTTTGTATATTTTTGGAAATTTGTTTGAACCGCATAAGTGAATTTTAAAAATTCAAAATCTTGGTAGAGAACCCAAAATAATTGTAATAAAATTAGTACTCATGTTTAATATCTGATGATTTGATGTGCATGTGTCTAATGATCATTTTAGACTGCCAATTTTTTTTTCACATTTTCCTATGTATCTCCGAAACCGTTGGATTTGCTTTCCAAAAATTTAATCAATTCTTCATTTCGTTAATACAAGTAAAATGATTTTTGATTCATCCAAATCAGGTGTTCCGTTACCTCAAAAATTGAATTACCATTTTTGGCACTTTTCGCTCCGTATCATCGAAACATCTAGACCTGTCTTTGCCAAAAACTATACAGCATCACTCCCTATCAAAGGTTTTTGAATCACTCAATTGGTTGATCCGTGCTCACAAAATCATCGACGAAAATTTGTTTCCGCACATCATACATACATACACAAACACACACACACATACATAAATCCATTTTTTCTAAGGTATGCCAAAATGTTTAGTGGGTCTTCAAATGTAAAGATATGCAAAAATTTTACTTTTTGATTTTTTGCGATTACTATGATTTTCTCTATAAGAAGTTAAAAATATTATTATGAAGTTATATTAGTTAAAAATGTTTACTCGCATTATAAACTCGTTTATTAAAAAAAAGAAAATTTTTAACTTAAATATGGTACTTAAAAATCAGATAATGAGTAAGTTTTTTGAAAATAAATTTAAATAAAAATTGAAAATGAAAATGTACGTTTCAAGATTTTCAGATCATTTTAGCACACCTGATGCTTTGGCATATATTTTTAACAAACATTCTAAAATATTATAAGCATAATGAAAGTAGTTTATTTAAAAAAAATACTCACACCTAGTCACATAATACATTTGAGGATTTAAGGGAGTAATAAATCTCATCATAGCATTTAATAATAGTGAATCCCTGTATTATAAACTTACCCCATATTGCAAATTTTCATTTCGCCATCAAAAATGCAGTATATGATGCAGTAATGAATCTAATTTAAATAACACTTTAAAATATTTTTATGAGTCACGTACGATTTTAATGGGCAAACTAAAACCAACAATGAAAATTGTGGGATTTATTTTATATTCCATAATAAAATTTAGGTAAACGCAATTAAAATTCCTTTTAGCAATCGTGACTATGAACGATTTCAGTTAATTTAACTACTGCATATAAATTTACTATATAAATGCGACAAATCGATGGGTTTTGTGTAATATACTAAATATGATAATAATTCAGCTATATTCAAAAATATTTTAGATTTTACAATAAAATGTTATTTTATGGTATAATTCAAATGTACGCCTATTAAATTTTACACAAGGGTTTAAAATATTTATGATTGGTTTATATGTGCATATTACAAAATTTATGGATTCTTAAAACGTTGATGTGATGAAAATTATAGTTCTGTAATATGTTTGCGAAAATAAACCTACGAGTGATTGCAAAATAAAATTGATTTTAGTACTCTCAACATAAGCTTGGCAAATAATTTTTTTTTGATTTTTTAAAATAATAATAAAATGTGGAATAATTAGATATTATTTTGATTTTCTTATTTCAGGCTTTTTTGAATGCAATTTCAAATTCATGGAGATGGCTATTCTGTCTACTCTATTTATTTTCTGGCATTATAAATACATACTAATAATAATAAAAGTGAAAAATGAGCAAAATATTTATAATAACTAGAAAAGTATTTATACAGATATGCATCCAATTAACTAGTGTTGCATGGCATCGTGCCTCAAGGCAAATTGCAGGAACTTTTCGTTCCAAAAATTAAATTTTTTAAAAAAGATTGAAATTTGTTTTCATAACTTAAAAAAAAATAGATTTTTGAGAATTTTAAAATTTCTGACACATATCCACATTTCTGAAAGTTTTTTTGTTATACTTCTAAATATTTTGGAAATTTTGAACTTTGTTTCAAAGCAATCGCGATTTGTCGCGTGAATGAAACGATATACAGAAGCGCGTGAGCGCCGCGTTGCAGTATTACTTACAAACATTGGTACTGAACATATGGCATTACAAATTATAAACATATTGGCACTAGAAATATAAACATTTTTTTTTCTTTTTAAAATATCTATAGAATATCATATAATTTGATGTGCACATGTATAATGATCATCCTTGACCGCCAAATTGAGTTTTTTTTTACTTTTTTCACTCGATCTTCGAAACCGCTAGACCTGCCTTCTCAAAAATCTGACCGATTCTTTATTTTGTCAATACAAGTAAAATGTTTTTTGAATTATTCAAATCGGACTCTGCGTTCTCTTATAAACTGAGTTACCGTTTCTGGCACTTTTGCCCCGTATCTTCGAAACGGCTAGACCTGCCTATGCCAAAAAATAATCAGCACGTCTCATTATCAACAGCAATCGAATGTTTTTAGAATAATTGAAATCGATTGAACCGTGTTCCCGAAATCGTCGACAAAAATTTGTATCCGCACACACACACACACACATACATCTATTTTTTCTAAGGTATGCCAAAATGTTCAGAAACCTCTGAAACGTAAATATATATAAAAATTCTCATTTTCGATTTTTTTGCGATTGCTATAACTTATCCTACAGGAAGTTAAAAAAAAATACTTGTTTTCGTGATATCTGTGGTGAACCTTTTTACACGCGGATCTTTATGCCCTTTAGGCCCCGCTCTATTTTATTGACTTTTAGGTGAACAAAATATATGTGCCCGATACTAAAAATTCAACAAATTATTATTTTTGTAAATTAACATCAATTGTTTCAAGCTTTTTATTTATAGTATTTGAGGAATTATAATTATTATTTTTGTAAATTAACATTAATTGTTTCAAGCTTTCTATTTATAGTATTTGAGGAATTATATTTACTTATTGTTAGTATAATTTAATGATCTTAGTAATTGATGAATTTATTAAACTATACACACATATATGTATATAAAAAAAATATAATTAAAGTTTTTTCACAATTACCGATCTAGTCATTTGGAAGAAAAATTAAGTTAGCTTAAATATTTTTTAATAAGTTTTCCATACAAACTCAATTTTGAAAAACTCAATTTCATAATTCAACATAGTTATTATTGATACTTATTTTTTTAATATATATTTTATAATTAAACTTTTTTTTCATATTTTACACACTATTATAGATAAGAGTATATATTAAACAACTTTCATACTATGTTCATATTATTATGAAAAATCATATATCATATTTCTAATTATATTTCTCTTTCTTTTCAGGAATAAATTTTATATAAAGATTTGATATAACCCAAACTGGTCCACAATGTCGTTTATAAATCCGCCGTCATATTGACTCCTGATTCGACACAAGATCTGATGTCCTTAACTTTGGCACCACCAGCGTCTGCTCACGGGTATTTGACGCTTAATTCAAAAACCCTAAGAATCTCAGTAAAATACAAGGCCTAAAACTAAACCAAAAATGGCAAACACGAAACCTTTACTAAAACATGACTCAATTTCCCCAACTGTCACAATAATGAGTGCTTCTCAATCCGATGCCACCATCGGATCTCCTAGTAACAGACCCGAGGTGAAGAGTCGACCAGTGAGCATGTATGATAATTTGAGAAACACCACTGTTCCTGGTGTTGTGATAAAAACTGATAACACTGAAGAAGGATGTCAGTTGACACGAAATGGAGGTGATATGAATGCGAATACTTCGGCGTCCGAACAGAATTTGGCGATTGGAGCAGAAGTCGCGTGCAAAAAAAAGACGAATTTTTCGAATGTTCCAGATGTTTGCGGTGATTGCGACAAGTGCACGATTGACAGAAGCCCTTCTCAGGTGAGATAATAGAAGTATTTATTCTATTTAAACATCTTTTGTTATTTTGGTCGCAAGGATTGGGAAAAATATATTTCCGAAGGCAAAATACACGGTTCAATAATTTGGGATAAATGCAGGGTAGGATGGGGTATTTAATTTGATTTTTAGTAATTATATTGTCTAAATCAAACGAACTATCAAATTATATTCAGTAAAATTCTTATTAATTCCTAATTATAGAAATATGTTTTTTTGCAAATTTTCTAAAATATGTTATCTGTCCCTTCTTGTCTCATAGGCAAGGTAAAAAAGACAGGAGGCCAAACTGATCCAGTTCGAGTTAAGTTTTCTTTTCTTCACATTAGACATTGATTTACTTAGGGAAGAAACTGCAATTTTTTTCAAAAGAATATTGATAAAAAAATATTTAAACTTTTCTCTTTATTGAGAAAATTTAGTATCGGAGAAGTGTATTGTTTTATTTTCGTTCTTCTTGAATGCTTGATAATCTGATATTTTAAGCTATGTGGTCGATGCTTTGAATATTAATGTGAATTGTTCGAGGTTTTTATTTTGCGACTGCCAGTATACGTTTAGAAGAAGTGCTCTTGTGAATACATAAATAAAATCACAAATTAAATATACATTCACACACTCACACACACACACACACATATATATCTATATATATAAAAGAGAAACTCACGAACGGCTGAACCGATTTAGATGAAAATTGGCAGGGAGGTAGTTTAGAGCCAGGAGAAGGACTTAGGATACTTTTTATCCCGATTTTCAGTTTAATTGATAGTATATTTATATATATAAAAAAATACTAGCTAGCCCGGCCACGCGTTGCTGTGGCTCAGTAATTGGTGGCAGAGAGGTAGTTTAGAGCCCGTTTTTCGTTCTAATTCAGAATTAATTATTTATAAACTATCCATGTAGTTTATTCAATCTATTATACTATATATATATATATATACTAGATGACCCGACAGACGTTGTCCTGTACCCACCTCTACGTTTTTTTAATATCCTATACTAATATTTATACCGTTCAGTTAAAAATAATCATTATTGTTTTTCGAGTTACTATTTACACCAATATATGAGTGATGTTAAATGTAGTACTGTTTCAAATAAAATGATTTTTCTTAATTTCCACAGTTAACGCTTTAATTATCCATTTAACAAATATTAAAATATGTTCAATAAAATTGTATATTAAAAATTATACACTGCGATTTATAGAACAAATTTATTTCCAATAGCTCAATTTATTTTATTGAATTTAAGGGTTATACAATATTTTTAGACATACCTGTAGATGTGGATGTTTAAATGAATGATTTTTTGTTTATTCACGGCTAAAACATTGATTTTCCAAATTTATCACCATGTATTTATTGTCATAGCATAGATATACGTGTTGAAAATTGAAATCTTTTAAAAAGTATAACAAATTAAGAAAGAATTAATATATAGCATGCGGTCAAGGTACAATATCACCTTGGATTTTTCTACCCAAAATAATTGCTTCAATAATGTTGCTTACAATTTTTATAATTTCGTACCATATTTTAATTGGCTTTTAGTATTTTAATATCTAAATTGCATTTTTCACACTAATAATTCAATATACATTATTACTTAAGTTCATATTTGAAGTGAATTAATTTGTCAAATTTTGTTCACATGTGCTCTATTCAACCTACTATCAACAAAATTATTGCAATAAATGGAGAGGAAAAAAGCGTATGCCCAGCTAATCTTAATTTACAGTTTAGAAGTGAAAACAATTTGCATTTCGTCACCACCCTCCCCCCCCCCCCCGCATTAATTGGATTATAACTCTTTTAATTCTGATTTTATCATAACTTGTAATATACTATTTTAAAGGTGATTAAATGAGCTACAACTTTCTCTATCATGAATTTTACAGTAACTTCTCTTATTTTGAAACGGCGAAGGGTTAATTAAAGGGCTCGAATGACACTCCGGTTGGACAGCCGCGCACTCTTTAAACAATTAGAACTCTATCAATATTTGTGTAACAAAAAAATAATAAAAAGCAATAATTAGTTTGAAAAATACCTTGAATTTTCATATATATACTTTTATACGTATTCTTTCAGAGATATTATAATGAGAAATTGGTTTTTTAAATGGATTTTTTTATGAAATCATAAGTTATTTGAAAATCGTTTGTACTAATGTTATGGTATTTTCTAGAATCCATCAAAATCTCTCAAACCAAGTTACTTCTAGATGGAAAACGATTATTTTTAATTTTTGGTGGAAATGACACTCATAAACTATTTGATTTAAATGGAAAAAAAATTGTATGCGTCTTTTAATTGCATGATAGCTCACTCATTTTACACACAGAAGTACTTCTTTTAAAGTTTATTTGGAGAACTATAAAAACCCATTTTCATAATTAACTTAATATTGTTCCTAGAACACTGTAAAATAGAGATTTATTAGGATTTTTATTGATATAATTTTTGTTCATTACATGATTTTTGTTAAAATGTATATTTTTGAAGATATTAGCAAAAAACGATGAAAAACGCAAAAAAGAAACAAATTTTCAGTAGCCAGTAACTTGAAAAGTATTTGCTTTTTTTAAAAAACATTATTAAACATTTTTCTCTTATAATTAGTTCTTTTATCTACACCCAACGTTATTAAACCACTGAAAAGAAATGGCATCACCCCGGATAGTGCAAAGGAGTCTAAATTGTTTTCACTTTCGAACTTGAGAGTAAGATGAGCCTAATTCCAAAATTCCAAACGAATTGGAAAACAGTAAAAAAAGTTCAGACCCATTGAGTAAATATTCCGTACAAAATGCCAACCATATGAATTTTTGACACAATGAAACTTCTAAATAATTTTTTGAATAAGTAATTTTTTTTGTATTGTGACTTAGTATAGTAAGGCAAAACGACTGTAAATTGAATACTTTTGAGCGCAATCACTTATGGCCCGTCTCCTTTGCACGAATTCGTACGGCGAATCTGTTCGCAAAGTGCGCAGACAAAATTATTGCAAGCAAAAGCAAACCACGCGCACGTTGAGAATACTATTCGCCGTGCGCGTCAGACGCATGTGCAGACTGTCAAACGCATGTTATATTATTTGCATCTTATATTAATTTAATTTTTGGCACATCTCAGCTGCTTTTCGGCAATAATAATGTAGACATTACATTTTCCTTATTTATAATCATGAATTTATTATATTTTAATATTGCCTTAGCCTATGAGTGAATAGAAATGTTTGGCAAATGACAGTTGTCATTTGTTATTAATGTCAAACCATGCCTTAAATATTTTAAAGGTCAAACAATGATAAGCGGTTTTTTGTATTTTTTTCCATTTATTTCTACAATCTAACTATATTTCTGTGAATCAAAACATTCTAGAAAATTTCCCGAACAAACTTCAGAAAGATTCATGAAAATCCGAATTATAGTTTAGGAGGATTAATGAAACTTACATTGTTACAGAAGAATTTTATATATAAGATATATATAAGGTGAAGTGAAGTTTAATAATAATGCCGCGACCAAGACTGAAAAAGAGCATTACTTACATTTACATGTACATTTTGTCGAATAACTTATTCCCAGTTATAATTTCCCAGAATTTATCAAAGAATGGTTAGTAATATATGAAGGTACGGGGTTAAAAGTTTCACGACCAAAGTGTCAAAATCCAGTAAAGCTGAAGCATTGTTTAACAACATTATTTGAAAGTGAAGGGAGAAAGATGTATAACCTTGCTTTTTATTTGACCAGCTATAACCTTGATTCTTATGACTTTGATATTGGGAGATAAACGGTCATCTTTAAAAATCCATAGTAAAAGTATTTTCTTCTGTTGGTAGCTTTTTAGCATTAGTTAAAAATGTAATTATTTTGTAAAATAATTATTAATTTATTATTGTTTATTGTTTTTATAATACCTCATTGTATATAGCATTCAAACAACACATCCTTATACACTTATAGTATTAATATTTTTGATTCTCTAGAAATTGTTTAGAATATACCTTACTTAGCAAAACAACGTTTGCCGGGTCAGCTAGTATATATATATATATATATAGATATAGATATAAAATTCTGGTGTCATGATGTTTGTCGCACTCTTCCAAAACTATTTGACCGATTTTTATGAAACTTTCTTTAATAAGTATGACTGACATTCGACTAACATCTATTTTCATAACCCTAAGTGGCAAGGGTTGTTCACTCCTAAGTTTACCTAAGACCAATATCTTTTATTTTATTTTTATTAAGGGTTGTCCAACTCTAACACATTTTATAATTGGGTCAATTTTCTTTATTATAATTTTTCCTAATAAAAAATGAATGCTCAGATTTTGCTTCCTAATTAAAAATAAATGAATTAATGAAAACTACGGTAATAACATAAGAACTTGATTATCCAAATGTGCCAATTCAGTTTAAATTAAATCAGTTTTAGGTTAGGTTGGCACTTAGTTCCATGAATATTTATATGAGGCATGCGTTGCAGTGGGTAAACCATCTTTTTCTTGTCTCTTTCACTTCTCTTTCCCTTTCTCTTTCACTTTTTCTTTCACTTATAACCACACACTTCTACATGCACAATCAGTTAGTTATTTTTATAATAAAAAGGTTCTAGAAATGATTAAACAACGTTCTATGGGCCACCCAATAAAATGCTTTAACCAAACAAGAGAAATTTTTTTAATGGAAAATTGAAGGAAAGCTGTTGATTAAAAATATAATATTTGAAATTCAGTTCATAATTTTAATTCACGATTTATATATAGTTTTTGCACATTTATCCATCATCTATCCAACATTGACCAATAAATAAAAAAAAATGAACCGTATCTAAAAGTATTACAGTCGATGGTAGTACTTACAGAACCAACCACCAGTTCAGTTCCATATTTATACAATTTGTATAATTATTTCTATTTAATTCACATCTTTTCCTAATTACACTATTTCAAAACTA